CTCTGGGTCAACCCAAGGACCTGGGCGTCCAGATGCCAAACAGCGGTGCAGCTGGTCAGTCCCTGCTGGACACCTATCTGCAGTTCATCACGGAGAACACCTTCGGTGAGTGTCTTAGTTTTCCAAGCAATGGTTCCGGAAATAATTTGTGACCTCTCTGCTGATTTTAGGCATGGGCATGTCCCAGGAGCAGGCAGCTGCCGCAGCGCTGCGAGCCAAGATGGCTCAGCTGAATGCGATGGGGCACAGTCTGGACAACCTACCGCCGGGCCTGCTGCCCGGACAGTTCGATCTGAGCAAACTGGCTGCCGGGAATCCCGCCTTCGGACAGGGTGGACCCGGTCTGACCATTGAGCCAATCATGCGGCACGAACAGGCTGCCGGAAGCCTCTCGCCGAACGTCCACCGACCACTGGCCCTCAACTCGGGCGGCCGGATGATGGGTCACGACGAAATGGCGGACCACGAGGGCGATATGAGGCGGGACGGGTCGGAGCCCATGGATCTCGGCCTGGATGTTAACCAGTCGGGCAGCAACCATGAGGTGGCCAACTCCGATGCCGAGGAGAACTACTCGGAGGACGAGGGAGTGCACAACACATAGAAGGAGCAACGGATTCCAGCGAGGGACCCACGAATATGAATATGAACATGAACATGAACAGTTGTATACCGATTACCCATGGAACATATGTAACGAGTAGCCTTATCCTCATGTATACCAGTTTATGTGTACGATACGATACAATACGATAGTGAAACCTAGGACTAAAATCATATTTGTGCCGCTGCCAGAGCTGGCCTAGTAGAATTCAATGTTGTGCTTTTTAAACTACCTAACTATACAGATATATCCTATAGATATATCCCCCCATACACATATATATTTATATACACAAGTACCTGCTGTGTATACAAGTCGATGAAGAGGAGGAAGGGAAATCCCCAGAAAACCCATCCCGCATGAAAAACATAAACTAATGGTAGTCTAGTGTCGTAAGTTAGATTTCACATTGAAAGAGAAGCCTGTAAATACATATAACTATTCATATTAGACCAGCAACAGCCCCCCAAACGATCCGTCGCATTTAACACTTACGTATGTTAGTATTGTACCAGACGCCAGCAGATAATTCAGATGTGCCATGCATGCCACAGCCTTCCAGTTCCAAGTCTAGCCAGTCCATTGATTCACAGTGCTTACCATATCTCAGGAACGCTCGCGGACGAATCCGAACAACTCAACCGAACTACCTCAGCCAGCGAAAGAGTTGAACCCCTGAAACGAACCTCAAACTTCCATGAGTTGTGACTGGCCCTGTACTCCATCTCCAGGAATCTTGCCAACATTTAAGAGCGAGACCTGCTCGTAGATTTAGAATCCTAAGGGGATCAGAAAAGAAAACAAGAAATTGATTATTTATACACTTAAATACGGTATACAGTGCACACTCAGTATACGTATATACACTTAAAAATATATACATATGAATGCCTGTACTTATTTGTCAGAGAAATGAATACCTCAGCATACTCAGCATTCGGTCGTTACACTCGAAGGTGGACCCCCTTTATGATATCCAGTGCGAATCATATTATTATAAAGAAACTAGGTTAGTTAGTTTATGTGGCAGCACTGCAAGCAAGACATAGATAGATGTAACTACGCGTTTCCTGTATGTATTTAGTTCGAATATGCCTCAGTTATCCTAGGTTTATGGTTAGCTTCAATCGGAGATGAGCACAGACTCTACAAGAGTCGCTACAACTTGCCTTATGACCAACATATGTGTTAATTTAGTAATTTTCTACCTCAATTAATTTAAATGTAATTTACTTGGATACTTATTTGTAAGTTCTTCAAGGCACTCTCCAATATGTAACTTGTTTCACTTGGTTTGTTTCGAGTGTTTTAACTACCTTTAACATGGGATTTAATTTTATTACTCACCAGTCACCTAACATAGCTTAACAAGAGATTGGATGACGCACATGTGAATAAAAATATCTAAGTACATGCGAGTGTCTTTAGTTTTTATTTACCCGGTTTAGTTTGTATCTTCGGTTTTAGAAACTTTTCCCTCCTCTCACTCTCGCCCAGATTTTGGCGCAGGGGGAGTGCAATAGATTGCATTTTCCTAGGTTTGAAATGCATTTAAGGCTAATGCAATTCGGTTAAGTCGTTAGTTTAAAATATATTAGTTAAAAGTCGTTACATAAGCAATATAAGTAGACATCCATGTGCTTAGAAAGTTATATAAATATTTATTGACATTACAATAAAGCCGCGTTATGAAGACAAACTGTGTTTTTCTCTAAATATGTGGTTAAATTTTCCGTGGGACTAATAAATTAAAAGTAATTTAAAGGTTTGTTAAAAATTATAATACATTAAAGTTCGACTTTTTCTTAGGTATAACATATATCATGGTCTATCAACCAATTTAATGGCTATAAAACTTTGAATATAATGAAATGAATATAATAAAGATAACATGAATGGTTATTAACTGAAGCCATGCCGTAATTAGATACAATGAGTCATCGAGTGCACCACAATTGACTTGAAAAGCAACACTTTCCTGCCAAGGCTGAGCTTGCTCAGTGGCTTCCTAAGCTTAGCACGACATGTAGATGCAATTTGATTGTGTGCTGTTTTCAGGTGAACCGCTTGTCCAGGATCAAACCCACCCTTCAGTTCCAAAAAAAAGTTTCACTTGTGAATCACCTTGGGAATCACCTGGGACATGTCCTCGTGCACAAGTGAAGAACAAGTGACGCTCCATATAGAAAATTGTATGGGATGTCCGCATTTTCACAAGTGAAAATTCAAATGAAAATTTTTCGAAGTCCTACGGGATTTCACTTGTTCCTTATACTCATTTTTCGTATGGCCTGTCACGTGCCGGTGACTCGTCCCAAGTGAATCACTTGGGAAAATCAGAATTTTTCCTTGAGTTTTCACTTGTGAAATCACTTGCAAGGCACACGTCCCAAGTGAATCACTTGTGAAAATCAGAATTTTTCCTTGAGTTTTCAATTAAAAAAATATAGAATTTAATTCATTTCATTTTAATTCATTTTAATTATATGGTACTATTTAGATTTTCAAAAATTGTACAATTATTGTTTCTGTTTTTTTGCTTCGTAAGCTTATTTTTAACGTTAGACATCGCCGTTCTTAAACCTTTGTCCGGGTCCTCTGAATCCTTGGCCAACGCTCCTGAAAAAACATATGTTTAAAAAATGCGTTTTATTTGTTTAATTGTATATTTACCTTTTATAGCTGTGTTTAACCCTTTGCAGGATTTTTATTGGCACAAAACATTTTGTCATCCACTTTCGGCTAACGGAACCCATTGAATACCTTCAAAATTTACGTACTTTAAACTAAGATCAATGCACAACATCTTAAACTTAATGTAGCACTTACCTGACTTTATTATATTAACTAAACGATTAAAGTAACTCTGCTGCGCACCATTAAAATTGATGCTTCCCTTTCAATCACTCAAACAGAATGCACCAAGTCTTCTCACCCCTTTACTAGATTTCTTTTGTTTTCTCTTCGCAGTTGGCGCGTGCCACTGCACCTATACCCTTTCTAAAGTGAAATATATCCGACTATATAGTTTTTACTTCTTGAGTAAAAAATACAATACGATTTTTTTTAAATGTTAATACTTAAATGTTTTAAATACTTAAATCAATTTTAAGGGACTAAATTTCTATAACTTAACTAAAAAATAAGAATGTATAATAAGTAAATATAACATTATAAGTAAATTCAATTTACTTAATTTTACTATAATCAAATAATTTACTTTTATAAAACAATATTAGTTGTTTTTTTTCGATATACAATAATGCTCCTAAAATATTAGGGCACTCACATGTCGCTGCGCCACGAAAATTTTTCCGCCGAAACATTAGTCGCTAGCCGAACATAACGGAGAGACTCAAAAGAAATAACGGACCTGCCGAAATTTGTCTCTGAGAGCGCCGAGTGCAGGCAGATTATAAGACAAAGAAAGAGAGGGAAGCTCCGAATATCTGCCTCACTTTGTTGCACGATCGTTTTCGTAGGCAGTCTTCTACACTGCGCCGACTTCTCTGCTGACGTCAACAGCGGCACAGCGTTTTAGGCACAAAAAAAAAAACAAAAAAGCTTTTTGCCTTGAGCCATGTCACCGCGTCCCTACTGCAGAACTGAAGGGCATGTACTGGACCTGGGGTGATTATGGGATGGTGGTGTCGTGCAGCTCAACCCTAGGAAGGATCTGTACAGTGTGGCGACTTGCCAGAAATTCCTGGGTGATCCTTGACGCTTCGATTCGTTAGGAGGTCGAAAGGAAGGAAGTATCGTCAGCGAAGGTGATCAGAAGTGTGCCCGGTTCACAAGGATCTGTAGTGATCAGGATATACAAAACGGGACCCAGGACGCTTCCCTGAGGAACGCCAGAACGAGCTTAAACATTCCCCTCTCACCACGACCATGAAACTTCGATCCACCAGGTACGATTTTAATAAGAACAACTGGCCAGTCGGGAGTAGAGACTTCAATTTATGAAGTAAGCCATCATGCCACATGCGATCGAAAGCTTCCTTAACGTCGAGCAGAGCAGAGCTGTATTGCTTATTTTTAAAAGCATTTAAAATATGATGGACAACTTAATGCGCGTGCTTTGAGGTCCCATGATGATGCCTAAAACCAAACTGGTGGTCGGGAATGGCATCCTATACGCTCTCATAATTCTACTTATTTGAATATTAGAGAATGTGGGTAGCAAGCTTATCGGTCTGTATGACTCGACAAGGTTCTCCGGTTTTCCTGGCTTTGGTATCATTGTCATCTCAGCACACTTCCATTGAGAGGGAAAGTGTTGGATACGTTGAGTTAAAGAGGAGAAAAAGAAACATGATTCCCTTTTTAGGCAAGGCCTTGGCTGTTCGGACTATAAAATGTTTTGGATAAAAAAAAATGAGACAATGTTTTCAAGAATGTTATATTGCTACTGATGAATACATATATACCTTGTTACCTATGACTAAATCAGAACTTTTTAAAGAAGCATATTTACGACATATAAAGAGAACTTAAAACCAAACCCATAAATATTTGTACACTTAAAAAGGACTCTACTAGTATTATAATCTAGTGACTTATTTAGCTCCTTCATATTTAGCGATTTTTTCTCGCAATGCATCCAGCTCATCCTTTCGCATCATTAACACTCGTTTTGCGGACTCGTATTTACTTTTAATGACGGCCAGTTCTCTCTTATAGGATTCACATTGCGCCTGTAAGGGTAATGGTTGATTAAAAAATAAGTTAAATAATCATGCAAGTAACAACCTTTAGTGCACTATTTTGACCAGCTGTGAGTGAGGAGATATTCGATGTGTCGTTGTTTTCGTTCTGCTTAAGCTTCTCTTCCAGCTCCTTTATAAGATTATAGCGGGAGCGCAACAAGCGACAAGCATCCTGGTACTTCATGTTTGTTTTCTCAAGAACTGCCTCCAGCTCAGATTCCGTCTGAGTTTCTGCCGGTACCATAGGGGGCTTCAGATTCGTCGAAACCTGTGCTCCTTGGCCGGCAACCGATTTGGCTGACGACTCGGCAGCATGAGTGAGATCAGTGACCCTGGCGTTGAGATCGTGAAGCTTCATCTTTAACCGTTTCTGCTCGACGCGTGCTTTCTCCTGTTCCTCCTGAACTCTCTTCTTAAGTTGGGCATTCTCGTCCTTCAGTGGATGATGCTTAAGCTCCATAGTCAACGCAGTCACTTGGCTTTCGCGAATGAAGAGATCGCGCTGGCAATCCTGAAGCTTGCAGTTCAGCTCCGCACAGTTGCATTTGTTGTCTGTAATTTGAATCATTAGTTACAATATTGTTTAACTCATCCCACGACAACTGGTCTTACCCACGGGATCTGTCATGGTGCCACAATCCCTAGAGTCGTTCCAGTAAGATTGCCGCCGCTCATCATGAACGCTGATTCGCCGATTCTTGCGTACTTCAGTTTCAGAAGTAATGGATTTCTACGGAAAAAGGATCAGTTTAGCAACCCATGTCCCGGACCGATAAGGAAAAATTTACCCTTGACCCACAGGCGCCAGGATTTCGATCGAGACTCTTTCTCGCTGTTGGAGCAACTGGCGACCCATTGGAGATATGTGACTCGAAGGACGCGTTGCTTCCATTCACTTTAAGCGCTTGTAAAGCAGCTAGTTCAGACTCAAGCTTAGCCACAATGTCGTTGACCGTGCACAATTTTTCCTCCAGATTCCGCTTGTCTTCTAATAGACTGCAGATTGTACTGTTCATGCGTTCCTCCTCAGAGCGGAAACTAGTTTCCTTAGATTTCTAAAAAAAAAATTTAATTAAAAATTGACTCATTATCAGGATGCCACATTTTACCAGAGTTGACCGTAGCTGATCGCACTCCTTTGTGAGTTCCTCAAGCCTACTAACGTTATCATTGAGCATGGTCATCTTTTCCTCTAGGTGACGCTTTTCCTCCAATAGATTGGAAAGGGTGCCCTCCAATAGCTCCTTCTCCTTACGGAAACAAACCTCTTTGGATTGCTGAAAATATTAAACTGTTCATCTAGTAAAGAGACCGAGTTTCTAAACTATTACCAGATCGAGTCCCAGCTTCTCGCATTCCGTTGTGAGTTCATGAGCCTTCTGTTCCAGTTCGAGGCTTCTATTGTTGGCTGCCTCTACTGCTAACTGATGCTTATTTGAGACTTCTTGCAGAGATGCAAGTGCTGCTATATTGGATGCCAACTGATCCTTAAGTCGAGCACTGTCTTCATACTTCTCGCTAAGAATGTTCATATTTTCCTCCAGTTGCTGATTATTCTTTTGCAAGTCCGATACAATCAATTCCAATCTATTATTTTCTTTCTGGAAGTTATCAGTTTTTGATTCCTAGAACATTTTTTCGTAAATTTTTTAAGTGAGAGGATATCGAATTTAAACTTACCAGGTCCAATCGCAGTTTTTCGCACTCGTTGGTCACTTCACTGATTATGTTGCGACCCAGCTCCAATTCCCGACAGAGCTCAGTAGATCTTTGATTGAATTCTGCTTCCCTGGCTTGCATCTGCTTCTGAAGGTCCGTTTCGGATTGCTCCAGTTTCCCAACATTTTCTTTGAGGGAGACACACAGCTTATCTTTCTCTTCCACAGTGTTCTGCAGATTGCATACAATCAATTCCAAGCCCTTCTTTTCTTTTTGAAAATTTTCAGATTTGACTTCCTAAAAATCGTATTAGTATAATTATTTAATTAAATAGTTTATAAATTAACCATACCAGATCCGATCGCAATTTTTCGCACTCGTTGGTCACTTCACTGATTATGTTGCGGCCCAGCTCCACTTCCCGACACAGCTCAGAAGATCTTTGATTGAGTTCTGCTTCCCTGGCTTGCATCTGCTTTTCGAGGTTTGCTTCTGATTGCTCCAGGTGGGCAACCTTTTCTTTAAGGCTGGCACACAAATCTTGCTGCTCTTCCAACATTGTCTGCAGGTTCTGCGCATTTTTAAGCTTTAACTTAAGGTCTTCATTTGCAGTCTCGAGGCTACCTTTTATTTCTTGCAGAGAATTAAGCTTCAGCTGCAGTTCGGTCATGGAACTCTTGAGATCTTCCACTTCGCGTTGGAATTTGCCTGCTTGAACTGACATTTTCTCCTCGACTTCTTTAAGCTGGGTTACCAGACATAACTGTTCTGAGCTCACAGTTACCTTTGCATCCAAGGCCTGCTTCAGTTCTGAGCGAAGCTGTTCAATTTCTACATCTCGGCTAGAAATGTCTTTCTGGGAATTGGACAGTTCCAAATGGAGTTGCTCTACCTCCCCTTGCAAACTGGACGACAGTTCGTTTGCCTCAGAAAGACAGTTTTTCAGACTTTCGTGCTGCAAAACCAGATCCTCATGACCTAGGATCTTGAGTTGAGCTTCTTGCAGTGCTTCTTGGAGAGCACTTATCTTGGCAGTGAAAGTCTCAAGCTTGTCTTCTAGGTCACACTTCTCCAACTCCTTCTGCTTGCCCAGAGCAGCCATTTCAGTTTCAAGGTCCTGAAGTTTCTTCAAGGTAATTGAGTGCTGTGTATTGGCATCCTGAATCTCCAACTGTAAAGCGGCCTTCTCCTGCCTCAGTTTATCCAAGTCAAGAACGTACAGCTCACACTTTTCCTGAGGATCATTTATCTTCTGGTTCGAAGAGGCTTGTAGCGAATCAAGCCGCTCACTGTGAGCCTGTGCATCTGAACTGTTCAGATCTCGAGTGAGGGACTGCGTTTGCAGTTGTTCCGTGCTCTTAGCGTACACCGCCTGAAGTTCAATGTTCTGCATTTTTAACTTATCCAATGCCAAGTCCTGCTCAGCTTTCGTTTTCTCCAGCTCAGCAATTGTATCTTTCATCGCACTATTATGACTTATCATCTCCTCCAGAGTATTTCTCACCTCCTCAAGTTTTAAGGACACCTTATCCCGCTCCTCCTCCGCTTGACTCAACTGCTCCTTTAGCGTAGTGGTCACATCGCTTATTTGCGACTTGTAGTCATCTTCAATCTTCAATTGTTGTGCTTCAGCCTCAGCCAACTTTTCCTTTAAGGTTTCACTGATTTTTTCCAACGCTGCCTGGTGTTGAGCAATCAAATTGTTCCTTTCTTCCTCGGCCTGAGTAATCTTTTCTTGAAAAGTCCCTTTAATGTCCTCCAACTCCGTTTGACAGCGAGCAGTAGCAGTGGAGAGCTGCTCCTCAGCCAGCAGTAGCTGCTCCTTCAACGCGACCATACTGCTTTCATAGCGATCCTTATTCTCCTCCATTTCCAGGGCCTGTGTGCGTATTTTGGCTCTGCTCTCATTTTCGCTCGTCTCAATTTTCAACAAGAATTCCACCTGTAGAGCGTTGATTTCATCCGCTTTTACCCTCTCCAAATCACTTAGTTCTTCTTTGGCTGCCTTCAACGACTCTCTAAGTTCCTCGATTTGATTATCATACATGGGGGAAACAATCATTTGCTCCTGGCTTTTCTCTTCTGTTTTTAAACTTTGCTCAACAAGTTGCGCGTTTCTCTCTTGAAGCTGGTCAATCAGGAGTAGGTTATCGGCCAACTTCTGGGCCTGACGACCTAGTTGGTCCTGCTTTTCCTGAGTATCCACCTCCAACTCTGCAAGCCTCACCTCCATCGTTAAACACCGCTCGCTCATTTCCTCGAACTCCGTCTGAAGCTTGGCGATATCCCTGTCTTTCAGATGCATCTGAGTCAGCTGGTTTTCCATCTCGGCCTGCATATCACACACCTTCGCCCTCAGTTCTGCAAGGGATGTCTTGAGAGCGGTCACTTCCTGGGATTCCTGATCTTTCCTCCAGGAGGATGTAGAAAAGCCTGAAAGGGTATCCTCGTCAGGCGGAATTCTAAGCAGACTCTCGCTCATTGAGTTCTCCCTGGTTACCCTATCCTGCAGCTCTTCATACACCATAGTCATCTCTGCATTTTGTTTCTCCAGGGATTCGATTTGGCGCTGATAGTCCTCAACCTTGTTCACAATAACACTCTTTTCAAGGAGGGCAGACTCCAAGTTCGTCATCTGCTCGCGCATCTCGTTGATGGTTGCCTCTGTGGCTTCCATAAGGACATTTTTTTCTTCGACTTCCTGTTCCAGTTGCGAAATAATCTCAAGAAGTCGCTTTTCCTCTCCCACATTCCCTTGGTCCTGACTGAGTTGCATGATATGGAACCTGTGTCGCTTTAGAAAACCTTTGAGACAAATGGAATCGGATGTATCCTGCTGTCGAGTGTCACCCTCTATGTACTCAGCAGACTCGAGGCAAAGCTTCAAGCCCGGCACGTTCTCATCCTGTTCCTGTTTGATGGCTCTAAAGAGGCGGCTGAAGCCGGATTGGTGCTGAAGTTCAATCTGTTGAATGGACTCTGACAGTTTGACAAACTGTTCCATGAGGTCACTGTCTGGGTCAGGGTTATTGTCCTGTTCGCTGCACTCAGTGCCCACACCAGAACTCTTCATGGACTCCAAGTCAAAGCTGGTTTGGCGCTGCTTGAGTTCCTCTCGCAGGGCGTCGTTTTCTTGGACACTTTCCATCAGTTGGTTGGAAAGGCAGTCGTATTCCCGCTGAATCTCCTCGAAGTCTGACTCCAACTGAGAGAGTTTCGTTTTTAGCTCTTGGTTCTGAGCCTTAAAATTTTCCACCATAGCTTTAGAGTTATGAGCTTCCTTAAGCTGGATCTGCATCTCCTCCTCCTCGCGTTCATTGCGGGTTTTAGTCTCAGCTTGCGAATTCTTGTTTTGGGATAAACTGTCGAGAGACTTTTGCAGGCTTTCTATGGTCAACTCCTTTTCAGAAAGCGCTGATAGCAAGTCATTCACGCGCAGTTTCGAGGTTTTCTTGTGGGCCTCGAACTCAAATTCTAGGCTCACTGCCTCGCGGTTTTCTACTTCCAATCTGGTCATAGTCTCTTTCAGAGAACTCAGTTGCTCTTCTAATTCGTTGATCTTTGAATTCGCAGCCTCATTGGCTGCTGTCAAGCTGGTGACCTCTTCCTGCAGAGCGTCGTAACTATAATAAGACAAATTAGAAATACTTCGTTATTTTACAACAGATAAAACGGTGGAAGTAAAACTCTTTCGCTATCAACTAGACAAGCTTCTTTAAAAATAGCCTAGAAGCTAGCAAATCAGAGGTTTATAACTGAAATTTTTCAAAAGAATTGTGCACTTAATATTCTATTCTATTCATAGAATTACAAATAAGTATCTCAGAAAAATATTACACCCATAAAAAAACAGAAAGTTCAGATTTACTAACTGTTGTTAAAAGTATACCAATGGCAGTATTAAAATAAAAGTTTAGATTCAAAACTAAATAATATAAAGTATATAACTTAGAGTTTCATTTCTATAGTTAAGGGTCTAGAATTTGGATTTGAGATATTATTTATAAGCCAATTAATTTCAATACAATACTCATTTAATTCTCATCTTATCGACGCCAAATCGATCCTTAATACTGTAGAATTAATTTAACAATAATTGCTTTTATATGAATATTTGTTTGAGATGAGAATGATGATGCAGACCATAAATAAAGCAGAGGAACGCTGATATTTACGATTTAATCGTTGCTTACAACCATTAGGAGACTATTTAAATTTGATCAAAATCGGACGACTGTATGTTAGCTGCCATAGAGCCGACCCAAACAAATCGACTTGCTTAAGCTGGGTTTATTTTTTCTCGGAATATGAGTTATCGTTTACTTGCCACCCCTTGAACTCACCGCTCCTTCTCGGTTATAGAATCTTGCTCTAACTTATCCCGTTGAGCTGTAACCCCGATCAGCTTTTCTTTTAAAACCTGCACCTCCTTACTCTCCACTTCGCAGTGCTTCTCTAAGCTGGTGAACATTTGCAGGTCCTGGATCTCCTTGATCTTTTCCGAGCTGAGCAAGCAGATGAGTGCAGTGATTGAGTTACGGGTGCGTAGATGAATGTGAGTGTTAGGTGATGAGTGTTATGAAGATTAGGGTGGGTCGATTTGTGGGCCCAAAAATCGTTAGGGGACCATAATCCAAAAAAAAATCTTCGAAATATGGCCAAAGAAACTGTGTTTATAGTTACGTTTGACCTTTCACATTTGCAAGAAAAGAACACTGGTTCTTGCTTTCTTTTTTTAAAACCAGCATTCTAGTATTATTTATAAATATAATGAAACATACATTTTGCCCCTTGAAAAAGATGATATATTAATGGACGCTGTGATTTCCTTCTAACAAAAAAATGTATAATTCTTTTGAAAATACTATTTCCGAAAGAAAGTTTCTTTGGCAGTATTAACTAGATATATTTCAAGATTATTTTCCCCACGATTTATCTTTTGCAACCATTCAAATCTACCCAGACCAAAACCAAAATTGAAAGAGTACTTACGTTAAAGGAGCCACGTTTCTCGTCAAGGGAGTCAAGGTCAGGTCTGGCAGCTTCAGGTTAGTCAGCATGTCTTTGTCGAAACCTGGGCGAGGAGAGCCAAAGTCAATAGACTCAGCCGGAAAGAATTCTTCATCAATTGTATGGCCATCAGTGCCGATATCCAAGCTTCCGAGAATGTTGATGGTCTTGGGAATGTTGTTCAATCGTTTTCCTACACTTGAGTTGGAAAAAAAGACTGGTTTCGGTAGATAGGAGACCTTTGAAAACTGAAGAAGTCGGTCGTCTGTTATGCTAATCCCGGCCGACTCAAGCACCTGACCCGAAGGAGCCGGACACCACGTGCGACGCCGTTTTTGATGACACTTATCACTCAGTGATGTGCTGGAGATTATCTTATGCATGTCGCGCTGGATGCGTTGCTCCAGATCCTGAACCTTTAACTGACTCTCGTTTTTGCGCTCTGCCTCGGCAAGCTTGTCCTTCAGAACCTGAATTTCGCGCCCCAGCCGCTTCATCATCGTGGCGTCGGACACCATCTCGTTGACTTGCGGCTTGATGCGGACTTTCTTGGCACGCGTGGCGAAGCTCAGGGTGGATTGCGACTCCTCCATGATAGAGGGCTTGATCGTGCATATGATGGAGGTCAAAGCATTGCCACAAAGCGATCCCTGCAGGATGCGTGTAAGTTTGGAGTCGCGAAAGCTGATGAACTTGTTGTCCATGTTCTCGGACAGGCTCTTAATCACATTGCTAAGGAAAAGCAGGCTCTTGTTTATATGGCCACCCTCCTTAAGGCGAGCTCCTCGGGCACCTGTCTGGTCCGCCCGCTCCGATCCAGCCAGATCCACCAGGTTCAGCACGCTCTGGATTACGGCGTCGTCGTCACTGCGGTCCGACTTTCGGGACTCAATGATCTGCGGGACACGAATTAAGGTGGATGTGGATAACAACTACATACTATACTAACTATGCGGAAAATGGCGTGTGAGCGACTGGAGCGCTCGTTCATGTTGGTCTCGCCCACGGTTCGCTCTTTGTTGCCCATGCAGAGGAGGCGCAGGAGGTCGTCCTCGCTGGTTATGATGCACTCCTCGCAGTTTACGTTCACGATCCCATTGCCGGCCTCGTGGATCTTCAGGTCTTGGTTTTTCTTGTTCAGCAGGTCATAGATCTTCTCGTTGTAGATCTCTATGTAGCCCACGCGCAGCAGGAAGTCGCGTTCCTTCTCACTGGAGATCTGCTGGAAGATCTCCTTGGCGGCCAACACCATGACGCCCGGGTTCTGGCCGTCGCCCATCATCGTGTACGTCTTCCCTGCGAGACATGAACGGCATTAGCTACACCATGGTGTGTATATATAGCACAGATACCCACCCGACGACGTCTGGCCGTAGGCGAAAATAGTTCCATTGAAGCCCTGCATACAGGCGTGCACGATGTGCTTGGCCATACGGTCGAACACCTCCTGGTTGCCGGTGCCCTCGTCGAAGACGTAGTCTGCAAGTGAGCATGGAACAGATCTCTTGGGGATTAGGGTGCATATTCCCGACTCTGCTCGAGCACTCACCAAAGACATAGGGCTCCGCATGGCTGTCCGCCAGGTGGATGGAGCGGCCATCGTTGACCTGCCACAGGGAGGTGAGCTCGGGCTCGCAAGGACGCACCTTGATGCACACCTGGATGGAACTCGGGTTCTTGGCAGACATTATTTGCAGCTTCTTGATCTTCACGCTTTACAATAATCACATCACAGTTCAATAACAAACAGACTCTAATGTTTCACAGGGAACACAAAATTATCGACATCTTTGTTACTGTTGAATTCGAAAAAAATAATGCCGCTTCCAAATTAGTGCGACCGAGGTTTTATCAATCAATTATACCGGCCGGCTGAAAGAAATGTAAATATTTTTCTTAATATCCCAAACGGTCACGCTGCAAGTAAATGTTAACTAACAGGCGCAATGTTACAGCAAAGCGCTGTTGTCAGCGTGTAAAAGCGGGCTACTATTACAGCTCTGTTAAGCTAAGTTTACTAATACGCCATCTACAACTTTGGATATATTGTGCGAAGAAATCTCTGGCAGCCAAGACTCAAACCAGATTTTAAAATTCTCAGAATTTAAATTTCTTGACTTAAAATCTACAGCGTTGCCACTAGCAAATTAAGAGTATCCGTTCAGCCGTTTCACAACACTTGCTAGGTAGCCCACTTTATGAAATCGCTATTTTGTGAGAGCAGAGGTAGGAGTTGTGAAGACATGGGGTGAGAGGTTGTTGCAATTCAGAAAGGGGGGTCCAGAAGAAAGAAGAGGTTGGTGTTATAACTCATATTTATGGAAGAGGAAGAACACATATAAAAGTGTAGGAACCGAGAAGAACGATAAGGGATAATTAGGAGAAGAAAAGGAAAGGCCGCAAACATTTTTAAAAAATAAGCGGTAAATTTGCGTCTGCCAAACAGAGCCCAAGCCTAGGAAATTTAAAATAGTTAAGGACACATAATTAGTCGATACGCAAATAAGTTCTTCATCTAGTTCTAGCTCCTTGCCCTTCGTCCATTCCCCCCCTTCACTTCAAAATCAGTCATGAAAGGAATCTATCATTTCAAAACTCTCTAAAAAAAATTATTCAACTGAAATTAGAAGAGGCGATTTTGGGCGTTAAGGGATTAAAATTAGAGCTTCGAAAAACTGATTTGGAAATTGACAACACCATTCCAGAGCCGCAATATTCTGCAATGTCACCACCGACGAACCGGAGAAGGGTGTGCGATGGAGGATTGGGAGCAGACGGTAAAGGCGGTGGCAGCGTTCGCAAAGGACGCAACCGGTCGCCACCTTTCCATCGAGACAATAACAGCAATCATGAGAGCCGTGCAGAACGCAGCAGCTCCAGAAGCAGGAGCAATGGTACCAGCTCCGAACTGGAACGCTACAGAACTCGACCCCTCCGATGTTTTCGTAAGTGTAGAGAAACCATTAAACCTCTTAAAAAGTCTTATAGTTTGATCGGGGCTTGGCCTTTTATAATTGAAACCTTTTATTTGAATAGTTTGAATACCGACTTTGGAGAAAAAAACATTTTTTATCCCGTACAATTCGAGTTCTCGTTAAAAGGGGCAATCACCACTGGCAGCGTCACTGACCACGTAGTTTTAGACTTTTTTTGAACCCACCCCAATATATATGTATACTTAATATAATCCGTTATATCAAATATTACATTCAACTATCCTTTCCCCTTACCCACTCTGCCAAATACGTGTAGGCTACAATTGATGGTATACGAATAGTGGGATTTGTTTATGTGACTATATATGATGTATACGTATTGAATAAATGTTTGAGATTAATAGTAGACCTAACGTATTATTTGGCACGAAGCCCAAGGAGACAACAGAAGAAAGAAAAAAATGTCTGGCCATATATATACAAATTATTAAAGGGGAATTGCCACTGGCGAATAAATTGGGAAGGGACATGTGCGCGGTGTGCCGTAAAACTTTTAGTAACTTTAAATCGGTCACGGCCCACATGGAAGGTTGTCGATCGGCGAACTACAAAATGGCTTGCGAGTGCGGCTTCCTATTTTCTGACCTGTCTTCAATTCGTGGCCACAAGTACAAATAAAATGAAGAAAATAAACACCAACATTCTCCTAGAGTGTCCTCTCTTTCTATCAGAAAGAAACAAATTCCTACCCTCAAACCCGTCAGAACTCCTTACCTCCAACACCCCCAATATCATAGCTTCCATGAATTTCTTAAAGGCAATAAAATTATACCATGTAATTTAAAACCTAGACATAGTCTATATGTAAAAATGTAAATTGTATATAACAAACGTAGCTTAAGGTCACAGTAGCTATAGCTACAATGAAAAGCATAGGCTATAGGTAATTTCTCAATTGCCTTTTAGCCTGAGAATAAATAAATAAATAAATAAAAAACAATAATTTTTGTGCAGCCGTAAAAAAGCAGTCGGAAGAAGCTTCAAAAAGGCCCAGTGACTCCGTCTACTTCGCTGATCCGTACCCGCTATCATAAGCGCTCACACCGATGCCAAGCAGGGTATTTATAACAACGCGTAAATATTTAATCAAAACTGAGATACAAATAAAATTAGTTTAATATATATTTTTTCAGAATTAATAACGGAACGATCATCAACCAACATGACCTTATCCAAACCCAATGTACGCATCTACATATATAGAAGTAAAGCTTGAAAAAATTCTTGAACATACCAACATGTTAAAATACATATCCAAAAGTTCCACAGAAATCACTTACTGTTAAATTTTTGTAAAGTCTTATTGACGCTGAACGCAAAGCGATTTCTGAGGCACCTCCAAATTATAATTATTATTTATATTAAATTCAATGTATTTTTACAATAAAGTTTGAAATTTCCGCAGTTCTTGATTTCTGGAGAAGGTCATAATCTTCCGCTGTTTTTAGTAGACTTTCCATGTCCTCGTCAAAAGTCGAACAAAACTGATTTCGAACTGACTTAGCCTATTGGCTGCACCTGTGCAAGAACCAGTCAATATTTTTTGGATATCAGGCAATGGTATATTAATCTGCCGCTTCCACAGCAACCAGCTTTTGTCCAGCTGTCAGTGATAACATTATATCGTCTGCACACACCGCTGTTGCAATTTTAAACGGCTGTGTGCAGAGGCCATAAAATCGCTGTTTCAATTTTAAGCGGATTCTAGTTCATATTGAGAATCGCTGAAGCGAACAGCTGATCGGCATAAGAAAACCTTATCCAAAGTGAAGGGATGTGCAAATTGAGTTTTTCGTAAAAGAATGCGAAACAATGCATAACTAAAAACTATTTTAACACTAGCATGAATGATTATGAATATAATGTTTTCAGCGCCAATTGATTCTTTCATTGCTATTAGCAAATTTATCAAGGTTAATATTTTCATGCTTTACATAAATAATGTAAGTTTTGTTGCAAAAGGTACCAGGTCTTGCCAAGAAGGACATAAGCTGGAGGTAAGTTTTTCCTTAAAAAAAGCATAGAAATATTTATTTTCAAGATGAGATCAAATGCGCAGTTCCGAGCCGTTCGAGGGCTTCTCAATCTTGCAGCAACAACAATTTCCTTTTAACGTCAAGTGTAAATATCAACGAAACTCGTAAGAAAAACTGAATCTTTTTGCGCGTGCTTTCTGCAAAAGCGAGTTGTGGCGATTTTTTCCCCTATCTTTCTATAGAAAAACATCGCTGAAGGTGTATTTAGTTGCTGACACGAAAACCACCCTCTGTGTGAATAGGCTATTATGATGAGACAACAACATCGATGATCGGCGTAAAACATCGACGTTTCTACAAATTTTAAAAACATCGATGCGTTCAAATACATTTTTCGGGTTTGAGCACAGAAAATACAAATCCGTCAAGTCTGTAGCCAAAACATTGGACAACAAAATGGAATCGTAAGAGAAGTGCTATATTTAAATGCTGTATATTTACGTTTTATGATCTTATTATAGGGAAATACCAAAAATATGCCGAGTGTGTATGGTGCCTTCAGAAGACGGCTACAATATTTTTGAATGCACAACAGAATCCGGTAATTCAATTAAGGAAATAATTTCTCTATGCACAGGATTGGAGGTATGCAAGGACGACTCCTTTCCGGAAACCATTTGTCCAACATGTCTGCAGGATGCAAAGAATGCATTCGAGATCAAAGGAGTGTACGAGAAGAGCCAAGTGTTCTACTGGCAACTACAAAGGGAGTACCTAAAGAAATCGAATGCGATATTGAAATTTAGTCACAATGGAAAGGAAAATAAATATCAAAGAATGAGGAAAAGTATGGAAACAGACTGTGAAACAGCTCAGTCCAAAGATGATCTCTTGGAAACTGATAAAAACCAGGAAAATGATAACATGCCCAAACCCCATAATGATTGCCTAGCTAATATCATCGAAGATAAAACCAAGAGACTTCGAGTGATTAAACCTTACACGTGTCCTCATTGTTCGAAGATTTGTAAAGGAAAGACACACTACACGGAACATTTGCGAGTGCACACTGGGGAACGGCCCTATAAGTGTTCCCAGTGCTCCAAGTCCTTCAAAACGGTTGGCGTCCTTCACGTTCACCTGAAGGCGCATACGGGAGAACGATCCTACCTGTGTCCCCACTGCCCAAAGGCCTTTGTACATTCTTCAACTCTTAAAAATCACCTACAAACGCACCAGGAAGAACGGCCGTTCGCATGCACCCAGTGTCCCTTGGCTTTTAAGAGATCTAACTGTCTAAAGGCGCATATAAAAAGGCACACTGGAGCACGACCTTACAAGTGTTCCCACTGCTCAACGACTTTTAAGGAAAAAAGAAATCTCGATTCTCACTTGCGAATACACAAAGGGGAGAAACCATTCAAGTGTGCCCAATGCCTGAAGGCTTTTTTTAGGAATGACGAACTACAAAAGCACATGCTGATTCACACGGGAGAACGTCCCCACAAGTGCTCCCACTGCCCAATGGCCTACAGAGACAAAGCCACTCTTCGGGATCACTTGCGCACGAAGCACACAGGGGAGCGGCCCATCAAGTGTTCCCTGTGCTCAGAGCGATTTCCAACGCATAGAGCTCTAGCAAAACACATGCGAAAGGGACCTTTCACGTGTTCCCAGTGCGCAGAGACCCTTGCCACCCATTCCAGTCTCAGGGACCACTTGCTATCGCACATTGAAGGGCCCAATTCCATATGTTCCCAGGGCCCACCCATCAAGTTGACGGCTTGAGCAACACTTGCTGTCACGCAGCGACAACTCTAGTGACCCCCGTGTTCGAAGGCATTCAAATTGAATAAAGATCTGAGGACACACTACCAAATACACGCGCATTGCTTGTCGTTCAGGTCATGCGGCCAACCTGTGAGTTTACACTGGAGAACAAGGAAAGGATAGAAGAAAATGAGTGACAACTTAAAAAAAAATGTATTCTTATTTCTAAAAATCATTTAGAAATGCTAAAGCTGGGCTTCCGGGTGCTTCATGATTAATTCTGAAAACTATGCATGTACCGTATCTTTAGAGTATTAAACATAGACTTAAATACAAGTGTAATTATTTTCAAAACGAAAATGGTTTGCATTAATGAAAAGCGTGTAAACGTTTTATGCCCAGTCTTAAAATTTAACCATTCTTGTTGATCCATTCAACATCTACCATACCTTAAACGGATGGTCCATCCAAATTTTTTCGGTGCAACTCTGAGTTCGTCTTCTTGAAATTGAAACATTCACTACAAAAACCCTAAAAATATTGACAGGGAATCTTTGAAAATGGGTGTTCAGATCAGCTGTTATCGGATAATAGATGGAAGATGTGCTCTGTGAGAAACGGAGTTTTGCATTTGTCAAAGGTTCCAGCCGTTTCGAACGGCTGGACTCTATGGGAAGAGGGTATTAAATTGAGGCTTTGTGCTTACTATGGTGGAGTTATGGTGTTAACTCGGGTTTTTTACATTATATGGCCGCAATCAACAGATTTTGATCATTTTAAGATCAGTAATCAGTGATCAGGTTTGTTCTGCTGAACGCTCATGATACATTACGATGACAATAAAGTAAAATGTGTTACTTCAAAAGTTCATCAGACAATTTTAAATGATTTGAAGTTGGTTTTACATAAGTTTTCGACACTCACTTTAAAAAATCGGTATTAATTGCAACCGCAAATCGAAAATCTCATTCGAATTACCCTCTTCCCACATCACCCTCCGTTAAAAGGATGGTCCATATGGTTTTGCCGTAACGAAAATTTACCAACTAGTTCACCATCCAAATTTGACGTACTATTACAGACTCTTTTATACAATACTTAGGCGATGTTTTTTCAGTGCCAATCTGAATTCTTTTTTTTGACTCGAAAACGTAATTTGAAAATGGAAGGTAATAAAGAAAAGGCTTGGTTTGATTAGCCACATGTCTCTTCAGATCAGCTGTTATCGGATAGTAAATGGTTGATGTGCTCTGTGGGAATCGGAGTTTCAAATTTGTCAAAAATCCCAACCGTTTCGAATGGATGGACTCTATGGGAAGAGGGTATAAAGAATTTTACTTAATTTATGGCTTAAGCCTAGGACTCAGATCGGCTAAGAGTTTCACTAGTCGAAAAATCGTATTCTTTGTAATGTGACCGAAGTTTTCAAAGTTCACCCGCAATGCATGTAGCATGGCCTTACTGTCAAGCAGCTGAGTTTGTTGCCAAACGAAAAACAAATCAATTGGTGAAATTTAAAAAGGAGGGGTCTGCTGGTACACAAAGAAATTAAATTAAAAACAAGGAAGAACGCTATAGTCGAGTACCTCGACTATCAGATACCCGTTACTCAGCTAAATAGAGATATGCAAGTAGCAAAGCGAGATTAAAATGCGCCACCTACCGGCGGTATACAGATTTAACCGTTATGGGCGTTAGAGTGGGCGTGTCCACTAGAAAATTTTAACTGAAATGTATTGTTCTCATCAATACCTATCGATTGACCCAAAAAAAAGTTTGCCACGCCCAGTTTAACGCCCACAAACCGCGAAAACCTGTGACGCCCACAATGTTCATGCTAAATAAAAAAAATTTAACTGAAATGTATTGGTCTTGTCAATACCTATCGATTGGTCCAAAAAAAATTAGCCACGCCCACTCTAACGCCCATAACGCTTAAATCTGTATACCGCCGGTAGGTGGCGCATTTTAATCTCGCTTTGCTACTTGCATATCTCTATTTAGCTGAGTAACGGGTATCTGATAGTCGAGGTACTCGACTATAGCGTTCTTCCTTGTTAATTTTTAAATTCCCCTCCGCTTCTGCACGAACACCGCAAAAGACTAAATTTCTTATTCTTTGGGCCGCGGCTAACGGCCTTCATCGAAAATTCACTCGCGAAATCTGGTATTTTTTCTGGTATTTCCTAAGCTTATCTGGGTACCGCGCTGAAAAACAGTCACGACAAAAAGCTTTAGCCTCATGTTTGCCTCTCGCTCACTCCTATGGTTAGCTCGCGGTTTTCGTCGATGTGAGTACTAGGCTTTATTAATAATAATTCGGTTTATTTGTATCGATATTCCACTAATCGACTCACGCCAACAGCAATTTGTCATTCATTAATATTTGCGTCATGATAAGTTGCTTACTAGATGGATATCGTCAAAGAACCATTTGCGAGGACGGTGTTATACATATATACTTAAAAGGGTTTAAACTGTTTCAATTTCTAAAAATTCTCGTATTGGCCCACAAAAGTACTTATTTAATTTTCCCAACGCTTGCCTGAATGTTAGCGATCAAATTGTACTTAAATGCGAAATGTTGCATTTTTTCCAAAGCAACTGAACACATTCTCTCCCTTCGGATACGGTTTGCTTGTGCCGATCAGCTGTTCGCTTTAGCGATTCTCTATGTGAACAGGAATCCGCTTAAAATTGTAACGACTGTATGCAAAGACTATTACCTGTATTTTGGAGTAGTCGGGTTATAGCTATCACGATAGAGTGTACAGAGGCTTAAAAATTATATAGGGTGTTCCTTAAACTGTTAAATGGGGAATACCCAGATAAGTTTCCAATAATTCGATAACGACAGCTTTCATGAACTGGTTTGCATCGATAAAAGTGGTTCCGCGTGTGGATCTAGCTCCCTTGCGAAGCGGTATTTGTTCGAATTTATTCAGAGAAACAAAGATGTCGATGACTTTAGCTTTCATAAAACATTAGAAGTCTGTTTATGTCGTCTACTGTGTGTATCGTAAAGTGTTGATAACAAGCCGAAAATATGTCTGCCAAGATCCCCAGTTCCCTTCAGGTGTGCATCAAGGTTCGTCCTTGCGAGGCCGATCTCACGTCCCTCTGGCAGGTGAATGAAGGTCGCTCAATCCACCTGGCGGAGAGCCATGCGGAGCCCTATGTCTTTGGTGAGTGCTCTATCATAGTCAGGAATATGCATCCTAATCCCCGAGAGATCCGTTCCATGCCCACTTGCAGACTACGTCTTCGACGAGGGCGCCAGCAACCAGGAGGTGTTCGACCGTATGGCCAAGCACATCGTGCACGCCTGTATGCAGGGCTTCAACGGAACTATTTTCGCCTACGGCCAGACGTCGTCGGGTGGGTATCTGTGCTATATATACACACCATGGTGTAGCTAATGCCGTTCATGTCTCGCAGGGAAGACCTACACGATGATGGGCGACGGCCAGAACCCGGGCGTCATGGCGCTGGCCGCCAAGGAGATCTTCCAGCAGATCTCCATTGACACGGAACGCGACTTCCTGCTGCGCGTGGGGTTCATAGAGATCTACAATGAGAAAATCTACGACCTGCTGAACAAGAAGAATCAAGACCTGAAGATCCACGAGGCCGGCAATGGGGTCGTGAACGTGAACTGCGAGGAGTACATCATAACCAACGAGGATGACCTTCTGCGTCACCTCTGCAATGGTAACAAAGAGCGATCCGTGGTCGAGACCAACACGAACGAGCGCTCAAGTCGCTCGCATGCCATTTCCCGCATAGTTAGTATATCATGTAGTTGTTAGTTACATCTATCCTAATTCGTGTCCCGCAGATCATTGAGTCCAGGAAGTCGGACCAAAGCGACGACGACGCCGTAGTCCAGAGCGTGCTGAACATGGTGGATCTGGCTGGATGGGATCGCGTGGACCACACTGGTTCCCAAGACCATATAAACAGCAACATAATCCTCAGTAAAGTGATAAAGAGCCTGTCCGAGCACGTGGACAACAAGTTCATTAGCTTTCGCGATTCCAAACTCACTCGCGTCCTGCAGGCATCGCTTTGTGGCAATGCTTTGACCTCTATCATATGTACGATCAAGCCCTCGATCATAGAGGAGTCGCAGTCCACTCTTTGCTTCGCCACACGTGCCAGCAAGATCCGCATTAAACCGCAGGTCAACGATATGGACTCCGACACAACGATGTTGAAACGTGTGGACCACGGTATTAAGATCCTGAAGAACAAGCTTGCCGAGGAGGAGCGCAAAAAAGAGAGCCAGTTGGTAGTGCAGGATCTGGAGCGCCGCATCAAGCGCGACATGCTGAAGATTATTTCGAGCACTTCGCTGAGCGACCAACGTCTCCAAAAGCGCCGCCGCAACAGGGCTTTCTCCAACTCGGGCTCCGAGAGCGAGAATGCCGTAACTTCGTTGCCCGTTTTGCAAGAGGAATCCCGCCTGCCCCGACCATCGAAGATGTCCAGCCTACCAAAACCCATGTTTTTCCCTAATAGTGGTCTTTCTCACCGACGGGAGATCGCTCTTAAAACCATCGGCGTTTATCAATCTCAAAAGGAGGAATTTATTCCAGGTGATAGTATGGAGAATAGAATTGGACAGCCTAAACAGTTGGAGACAGAGGCGGCCAGGAGTAATCCATCTGAAATCATTCAGATTCCCAAACAGGATCAGGAGTCCATGGCAAAGTGAGTCGAACGTACAAATTTAATTTTCTTTCTAAGATTTCAAGGAACACTAGCAGAACAAAATTGCGTTGTAATTTTCTGATAATCCTGTTACCAGTTAGGTTTTTATACCCGGTATTTGTAGAGTGAGAGTATGTTAGATTCGTCGGAAAGTATGTAACAGGTTGAAGTAATCGTTTCCGATCATAAAAAAAATATATATTCTTGATCAGGAGCACTAGCCAAGTCAAACTCGCCATGTCTGCATGTCCGTCCGAATGAAAGCTGAGATTTTGGAAACTACAAAAGCTAGAAAGTTGGGATTAGGCATGCATTTTTTTTTGGATGACTGTGTAAATGCAATTTGGTTTTTATTACCAATATCCACTGTCACGCGAAAAATGGTTCAAATCGGACCATCCATTAAAACGTTAAGTAATGGAATCGTCGCTAGGTGGCGCAGTGTA